CATGATTTCTGAATAAAAGGTAAAAGGCCTTTGATATCAGTACAATTAGGCACATGTATTTTCTGTGATGCAAAGGCAGGGACGGAATTTGGTGCACTGTGCAAAACTGCCACCTCAGTGCCATTTATGCCCCAATTTGGTAAGGAACATGAAGGATCCAGCTGCACCAAGCAGACCTGAATGAGGAATTATCAATGACTAAGCATTCAAGCATCTGCTAAAACCAAAGATCATACTAGAGCTATTCCTTCATTTCTTCACTACTTTTCCAAGAGAAATTAGAAGCCACTGGTTGTTGTGAGAGATTATTCCTGCACTTGAGGCTTCTCTAAAAGTGCTGAACTTTTGAATATCTAGTTTTGGAACCAGCAATTTGCAGCTCTCCACACAACTGATTTGAGAATCTCTGCCCATATTTTAGTGTAACCTCATCAGAAATTATCATCACAGTGAGCACTGATACCCAAGGTGGAGACCTTGGGTACAGAATTCAAAATCTGGCTGGATATTGACACTAAAACACCTTTGCCACATTGGAATGAATGGGTTTGGACCAGCTTTAGCTGAATAACCGAAGCTTAATTTTCTGAGTTGAATCACTGTCAATCATCATTCATAATTACTATGATAAAAATATTTACTAAGCAAATGAAAACAAATACATAAGAAATTAAAAGGATACCCTCACCAACATCATCTGCACTCTTGGCCATCTCCAACAGTTAACTTGAATTTTTTACAAATACATTGCAAAAAATAAGCATTCATACATAGTTTGTGTCTCAAGTCACAAGACAGATTCATCACAGTTTATTTGGCAATGCAGCTCTTGGATTGTAGATTGAGGGTAACAGCAGTTCAGATCCTACGAGTACTGGCTGAGCAATCATTATTAGTCATAAATTTAAAGCAAATTCAGAAACTTAAGTTTTCTGGTAATGCTGTCATTAAGTCACAACCTTGTCAATAACAATGAACGTTTTAAGTCAGAACACTTCTAAAGAGTCACAAAATTTATTTGTCTGTAGTAGACATTTCAATCTTCAAATCAAGAATAAAACCACAGGCCTATTGAGGCTGACTGCAAAACTCCAGATAGGTGCAGAATTGCAACCTTCCTACAAAAAAGTGCAACTGCTTCAGATTTAACTCTCGACTTGCAAATCTCACCCTGATATTTTTTATTAAAATTACTGGAGATTTAAGAATCCTTACTATTGTATGGCATGTAGATCATAATCTATTTTCTGAATATCAATGTGCAATACATTCAGTGACTGTAAAACAATATTCCAAAGGTTTTCCACAAAGATGGTCTCCAAGTCCACTATGTCATATAATGGACATCAGATTTTTGGCCTTGCAAAACTCAACCTTAAAGATATTTACTATGTTGGTAGTTTTTGGCAGATTGGTTATGGCAGAATCATTTTGAATAAGATAATGTTTTCAGCATGTATACCCTTTACATCCAAAATATCAGTTAGGAAAAAAACATAACGCAGGCAGGGATGGTAGAAACATAAATCATGGGAGCAACCAACAGTTTATGCAATGAATATGCGACCTATGAAACTTTTCCTTTCATAGAAACCCAGAGCTAATGCTTCTTAAATATGCAGACAGGGCAAGTTTGCTGTTATTCCCTCCTCAGACATTAGCAACCCCACCGTCTTCAGAGGCAAAACGGACTGACTCGTAGAGGGTTTAACTAAGACTGTAGCAACTTCAGAAAATATCAGCATATTCCTGATTTGAAACCAACATAGCAAAGAATAAATCTAAAATGAATCCATGCGTAAAGTTCTTGATGACCTGTTGATCCATATTCTGCTAGCCATCATTTCTTGCTGCCATTAATCTATTAGTATGTATATGCAGATATACAGTCTTACACACATTTCATAACAAATATAACAGCATCTAGTTGAATGGTGTAATAAAATGTTATAACAAGGTTAAGAAAGAGTTGGTTATCACACTGAACATCCTGCCTTTTCACTTATCAATATGGAAAAATATGTTCTCAAAAAATCACTTAAAAACACCAGAATTGGACTTGGATACTTCTGGGTTTTTAATTAGCTTAACTACTTCCTAAAATCTGTAGTATTGATGGCTCACCTGCCACCATGTGAGAAAAATGAGAAGCCTTTTACACCCTATTTATCAACAAATACTCATGAATAGTTAAATTCAAGGCCAATGACATAGTTAATGTTCACAAATACATTTAGTCTGTGGAATACAGTAATTGCTTTGGATAGATCCATCATCTAAATCTTTAGAAACAACAAATTGCTCCATGTTGGTGCTACTATTTGGTGGTGGAGTTTTTTTTGTTTGCTTTTAAGAAAAACATACAGATGTTATTTGCTTTGATTACCATTGGCTTTAGACTAATGCCGTTCCATTCATTTCACTTCAATTGGTACATATCAGAAAAAAAATAGATTTTATGTCTGCAAAACAACACAGCCAAGGCCAGCCTGTAAGCGATCTCCTCCTGAGTCATTTATGCCACTGCTCTTGGCCACAGAACAGATGTAATGAACAGGCAGCTCAGCAATGCTCAGCAGTAAACTATTCATGGGGTTATTCTATGAAATTTGACTTACCTACTGGTATAGTGACTAATCTGCCCTTGACAAAATAATTTTGTCAAACTTAAGACACTGCGTATCTGTAAGGGCAGAGTTCAGTTTGGAGCCTAGCTAAATGCTGTGCTTGTTACCATGCTAAGAAAAAAAATCAGAAAGGGCTCCTATATCCAAAGTTAACTTTCATTTCTTCTCAGTAACAGCTACCTCTTTCACAACTTCTCATGTTAAAGTTTCCTTTGTGTTACATTCATACCACATTTCCACCACATTCTTTTAAAATGGTCATTATTTTATTCTGTACCTGCCTCAAGCAGGATGAAATTAATCAATTGCACATAAGTGACATGACATAGACTTGTGACCTTGCCCAGCATCCAATTGTTTCTAATTGATTAGCTCCAGACATAAGCACTTTAATAGCCAAAAACAACATAAGTGGAAGCTGTGGTACAATATTAGGGTAGAATGACTGTGTGTGGTCCATATAGTATGGCCCCAAGCAACCAATTAAAGAATTAATGGTTACTGGATACCGAAAATGTTATGTTAAATAATATAAAATATCTTTTATGTGCCTAAAATTGTGATAAAACACCTAAAACCTAGGAGCAGAATGGCCTCTTACAAGATTGAGGTTAAGTGCTAATGACTCAAATATGCCAAATAGATTAGAATATTTTGAAGGACAATCAAGACTAAAAAATTTGACCTGGATTGAAATGTTCATAAAACTACTCGCAATAGTCTATTGATTACTACAATGTGTTTGGGTTGTTTTTATTATAAAGAGACAAGTGAAGCTATGCCAAACCATTCGTGGAGAAGAGGAAACTATGCCACTACTGGTTCCAGTTCTACAATAAGAAAAATAAGAAAAGAAAATACAGGAAAAATACTGTAAAAGAAAAACAAAACGGTCTCTTCATAACCAAAAGGCCCAAACGCAAAGCTGACATTTCCCTTCTCAGAACTTCTGTTCTCATCTTGAATAGAACTATTAAGTGAACTTAACATACCACTTTCTGAGTGTTTTACAGGGTCTGTTATTACAATACCACTCAACTGCTTGCACACAAAAATACAAACTGAAGAGGCACAGCAAATCAGTAACTTTTTTGTTCTTGCACAAGAAATATGTGAGCAAAAAGAAGATCCCACTGTTGCCTTATCTGCTTGGACACGCACTGAATGCACTGCATTTTACTGTACAACTAACATGAATCTAATGATTTTCACTTTAATGGCAAGTCCTTTACTCAAGGAATCAGTGTACTTTCATGACTAGTTGCAGCCATAAAACAGAGGAGGTGATCATCAGCAGATAGCTGTCAAATGATTCACAGCACACAGTGCTCCTGACAATAGGTTGGAGCCCTATTTCCACTACCTTAAAGCTCAAAGTCCATCTTAAATTGGTCATAGCTTGCTCAATATAGTCTCTTCTGTTCTTCATACTCCTTTTGAATTTACTTTTGTCAGCTGTAGTGTCCTTCAATTCAAAATTATTCAGGATGCACATTTATATAACGCCCAGCACACCAGGCTCCAGTTTGAATGTACCATTTCTCAGCATCACTATAGCACAATCAGTACACTATAGTATTACAGTAAACAGTATCACTGATTTTATTTAAAACCAAGATTTTACTTTTTTTTTGTCAAAAACTACTACAATGCTTCAAAAAATGGTGCTATTTCAAAAAGTATCTTCCAGTTTTAGTTGTCCTTTTCAAAGGATTTCTGGATTTAGGCATATTTAAGACTGAAGAATCCTTGAAACGTTCTGTACTGTGGGAACTATCAGTATAGAGAATGACATATTGTAACAACATCTCTGCTGCATGCCAGCACACCATATTTCTTGAAATACTCACTTTTTGGAACTGATTAGGTTCATGTGTCAGGCAACAGATCAGTTGGCAGATAAGATTTTCCTCCATGGTTCCTGTACTCATTGAACACTTGAATCAAAAATCTTTTTGGACCAACTTCCCCCCCAACACTGCCTTCCAAGTGCTTTAGATGTTTCTATCCAGGTATTTATATAACCCTTGTCACTTACAGTATCTTAACATTTATCAGGTGTTAAATCTCCTGGGGGCAAAGAGCAGCTGTGCTGCCTGGAAGGACCCATGGCATTACACATCTGGCAAGATCTCTTTGGTCCTCGTATAGTAAAGTCAGGTATGATATTACTAGAAAGAGAGGGAATTAATTTCCCACATGGATGTCTTTGAAATTCAGCTCAGTGAAAGGAAAACCTTCCCATCAGGAGTCTTTTACTTACAGTGCAGTTCCTTCAGCAGTTTTCTGTCTAAAAAACAGTAGTTCAAAGTGTGAAGCAAGATCATCTGATAAAGGACCAGGCATGACAATAGCACCAAGTTCACCACCTACCTGTAGGTGAGCACAGATAGCAATAGCAAGCCAAGTGATCTCCCAGGAGAGCCCTGTGGCTTTAGGGCTGGCCATCCTTGTGCCTTGGGGCTCTGCTGAGAGAAATTGGTTCAAGTTACAAACAAAATCAAGTGGGCTCCGCCAGAATTTCAATGACTAAAGCAAACTGGGCAGAGGCATGGAACCGGCCTTTGGAAGAAATGCAATGCAAACACCAGAGTTTTGTGCTGCCCAGAGGAGCAGACAAGCAGTGCATGCCATGAGCACAGCCTTCAGGGTGAGGTAGTTCCAATTAGGGAACAGAAAGGGGTGAGGGGGATGAAAGGTTTGGGGAAGCTGGCAACAGTTGGCAAGTTTCATTATCTTCTCAATGTAGGTCAATTTATCAAATTGGGAACTCCTCAAATCTTGATCTTTGGAAGATAAAATCCAAGGAGCATAGGATTTCTGATGTACTGTTCCAGCACTTTCACCCACTCCCAGGTCTGGGACTTCTGCAGTCATTTGCACTGCCTTTGAAAGCTCTGATCTTAAGAGCTCAGAGACTAAGTGATCAGGGCAGAGAGAAAAAAAACCCATCAGTTTAGTGACAATCACTATTAAAGGGCCAACACGAAACCATCAGTCACTTCTACTAAAAACTTCCATTTAAAATTGCCAACAATAGCCATGTAATAATGCTGCTAATTCTGTTATTCCTAGGGTCAATGCATCTTTTTGCCTCAGACTATTCATTACCACAATGATCTCAAAACAGTACAAGTTCCACACACCTCGATACACATGCACACAAACGGCCCTCCCTCCCCTCCTCCCAGCCACCACCCCACTATTTTGCAAAGCCCCAGAGTGAATGCAAGTCTCTCCTTCAAAAAAAGTACTTCTTTCTAAGAGGTCAGGTATCCCCCAAAGGAAAACCATCTGTCCAGACAGTTCTTGCACCTGTCCACTAAATGTAATTAGGATTCCTTACAGAGCTAAGTGTTTTATGCCTTCCCTTGAAAAAAAAAAAATTACAAAGTTCTCCTCACCCAAAACCTTTAGCACTCCTGCATGCTTTTGTCATTCAAAAGTTTCGCTCAACAACGGCATTAAGAGAAGGAAGGTGAGCTGTTTCCCCACCACCACCCTCGCCGG